CCTGGGGGAGGCGGGGGGGGACACGGGGGTCACCCCAGAGACCCCCGGGGGTCCCCCAGGCGTCCCCAGGACCCCGGGAGAGCTCCTGGCCATGGGCAGGGAGGCGCTGGGCGCGTGGGGAGGGGTCTCAACCCCACAGGAAAAGGGTCTCAACCCCCCAAAGCGCAGCCCCCGAGCCCCCAGCCCGGGTTTCCATCCCCCAGCCCGGGGGTCTCATCCCCCAGCCCGGGTTTCCATCCCCCAGCCCGGGGGTCTCAGCCCCCAGCCCGGGTTTCCATCCCCCAGCCTGGGGGTCTCAGCCCCCAGCCCGGGTTTCCAGCCCCCAGCCGGGGGTCTCAGCCCCCAGCCCGGGTTTCCAGCCCCCAGCCCGGGGTCTCAGCCCCCAGCCCAGGGGTCTCAGCCCCCAGCCCGGGTTTCCAGCCCCCAGCCGGGGGTCTCAGCCCCCCAGAGCCCCCCAGAGCCGCCCCCCGAGCCCACCTGGGTGTGCAGGCGGTAGGACATGAGCTCGAAGTCTCCGTCGGGGGGGATGAAGGAGATGGTGCGGTCGTTGTCGAAGCGGGACAGACGGACGCACTGGTGGAACTTCACGTCCTCCAGCTCCACCGATTTGTTCTTCCCCCCTGCGAGGGACGGGGGGGGAAATCAGGAGGGGAAAGTGGGGAGGGGGCTGAGACCCCCGGCCCGGCACTCACGGCCCGTCAGCTCGAACAGGACGCGGTCGTTGAGGCCCAGGCGCAGCTCCGGCATTCCCGACAGGAAAACCTTCAGCTTGATGGTGCCCAGCACCTCGCTCAGCACCACGCTGCCGTTGGCGCTCACCTGCGGTCACAGCCTGCCTCGGCACCGGCGCCTTCCTCATCTCATCCTCATCCTCATCCTCATTCTCATCCTCATCCTCGTCCTCATCCTCATCCTGATCCCCATCCTCATCCTCGTCCTCATTCTCATCCTCATCCTCGCCCTGATCCCCATCCTCGTCCTCATTCTCATCCTCATCCTGATCCTCAGCCTCAGCCCCTTCCTCATCCTCATCCTCATCCTCGTCCTGATCCTCATCCTGATCCTGATCCTCATCCTCATCCTCATTCTCATCCTCATCCTCAGCCCCGTCCTCATCCCCATCTTCATCCTCGTCTTCATCCTCAGCCCCTTCCTCATCCTCATCCCCGTCTTCATCCCCGTTCTCATTACCAGCCCTGCCACCATCACCGTCCCCCTCCCCAATCCCCAATCCCCCTCCCCAATCCCCAATCCCCCTCCCCAGCCCCCAAACCCCTCCTTAATCCCCAATCCCCCTCC